TTGGATGTTGATATTTTAAAGACCACCCTAATCCTAAAAAAAATAGTTGTGGTGACTTTGAGTTAGAATTACACCCCCTTCACCCCATACTTGCATTAAACTCATACCTAGTGCTTCACCTAAAGCAAACTAGATTTCACCCTCTTTAAAACGAGCTATTCCAGACCTTAATTGCACAAAACATCTCTAAGCTAAAGAGATGGTAAGGCGATAGTAATAAATGTACTTAGGTGACTGCCGATGATTGAACTAAGTCGGTAAGTGCTTTCTCACTACGACACGGCTTTAAGAATGAGTGACTTACCAAAGCTGTCTTACCCGTGGCAACTAGCGTGGAGAAAGATAACAAGAAGACGCATAAACAACAGCCAGAGATTTACGCAATCATCGAAACCGGTAGCGAATGCTACTGGCGGTGCTAATCCTAAAACTCTAAAGCAATAGACCTAAACACACCGCAAACATGGCAGCGGAAAAGTCACTCCGAAATGACTAATGATTTGCATTTAAAATAAATCCTAGTAAATGCGGTAGCTGAACCAAATTTTTCGGAACTGTAGGAAATGAGATCTTTCGGAAAAATATATGTATGTACTTAGTTGGTTCCAAAAAATACGCATGAATACTATCATGTGGATCTCAAATTAAACCATAGACTTCATGACAGCATATTGGAACAGAAGGGAGAAGAAAAGGCACGAAGTTACTGATAAGTAAGCCACCTTGGAGTACAGGCTCGAATCTTGGGTCTATTCCGGGGAGCTTGATGTCGTCCAGTCACTAACGCCAAGATCCCATGGCTGCGTCTTCCAAGCCGGAGTTTTAATATATGGCATCTGCTGAAATAATTCAATATTGGACTCTTATCGGTAACTCAGTTAATATGCACCTCTCTTGTCAGGATTCCGGTCTAAGTCAGCATTAAAGGAAACGAAAGAGTGAATGAGTCTGTTAAGAAAGGTACCTATTTAGTCAAGTCTGCAGAAATGACACTGAGATTCCCAATTAGGTATATGTAAAGAGATGATTCCTGTAACAGTTGAGGAAGAGATGGTTTGAGATCCACGCCTCAGCTTTAACCGAACTGCAGCAGGTCAATAACTGTGCATCTGTTGAAAAGGAAAGTTTGCTCGCTTCCAAAATAGGTCTTATCCCCAACAAAACTTACCAGAGTTATTGCTTGACATATGTATAACATAACAGTACTGAGATAGCTAACCGGTATTTTTACTACCTAAAAAGAAGATATACGTTACACACTAATGCGAGAATACGAATCCAAGAACGTTACATATTTTTGAATCAAATGAAACAAGCTTTCATAGCGAAGGCAGCGACCAAGTCTGATCTGAACCAACAGTAGCGGAGACAAGGGGACTGATCTCGCCCCCTTCCCATCACAGTGAATAAGAAACTCGCTTGAACCTCCCCAGTGGAATGAACTTATGTATTTGGAAAAATCATAGAGAAATTTGATATTATGTACATACATACATACATTTGTTAAAACTTGGCTCAAAGAGTATGAACGGATTTGAACCAAATTTTGGGAATATATTCCTCAGGACCATGGTACGAAAAATTTTAAATGTATACTGAATTTATGATGAGAAATACCTACATATACGAAAAATAAATCCACTAGATGGCTCTGTAGTCGAGATTTCTAATAAATAAATATTTATGGTTAGATTACAGCTACTTTTGATAGATATTCCATTAAAAATTATGTCAAAAATCTGCTGATAACTTTAGAGTCGACTTCATCTTTAATATGACTAATAAAAATAAAAATCATGTTACAAAACTCCAAAAACACTGCTAAAATAAATTTTAATAGACCACAATAACAATGAAAAATGGACTACCGGATATTGTTTGTAAATTGATCAAATGTGCTTTTTAGCTTTAAAAATCTGCTACAAGTATATAGAAAAGTATTAAGCTATGCAGACGGAGTCGTGGGAATCAGTTAGTAATTTTATAAATTTAGTCTGATGATGTGAGAACACAGTGAATAATTTTAATTCAAAATTTATTGAAAAAATATAAAAATACATATGCCTAAATATGCGAAAGATTTCCCACTGGGTAACAAACAACGAACTACCGAAAACTATTCCATACATTTTAATCGTTAAAAGTTGGAAAGTTACCATTTCTCATTGCACTTTGCGTAAATTTACTCGAGGGCACAATGCATTCATTTTATCATTTAGTTAGCTTATTCTTCTTCTGGTGTGACTTTTGTTTCGGTCTACTCCTTTTCAGCAATTGTTCTACGGCGGTCGGGCAACTTTTGAGCGTTTCCATGCAGGCATTTATATTTAGTACAACTTTGTGGGCACTGCTATTTATTTATGTTGGTATACGTGTCTTATGATTTTGAAATTGTGATTACAAAAAAAGTTGAAGATATGCACATTTAATTTATTCTGCATTTGGGTTTGTACAACATAAACGGCAGTGATGTAATTTCTAAAATATTTATGCAAATTTTTGCGCTCATTGTCAGTTGAAACCCACAAAATGGCATTTTTGCATGTGGTGAACTTTAATCGGAAGCTCTCTTATCTCTGTTTACAATGGGTCCAGCATTAGTTTTGAACGTCGGAAAAAGACGAAATATAAACTTATTTTAAAAACAAGAAACAAGCTATTATTTCTCGGATAAATTAGCTTCAGGAAGACTAGTGTCAGTAGCTCACGAAGATAAGCATCACCACAATACTTAGGCATATTACTTTGATAATAAAATCACTCAAAAGTACAATTCAGAGATACCAGTTGGTACTTTGAAGCCTCCGAATTGGTAAATACAACTTGTCGTCCTTCAAAGGTTTTTTCATTAAGTCCTCAAAAATAATATCAACCTCAAATCTTTAGTATTCCTTAGACTTCTTGTACCCTCCCAGGAGAGTTCTAGATGTCGTTTAAAGTTTTTATGGTCTTTCAATTATTTCTAATAGACCAGCAGATTAACCAAAGGTATTCCGATCTATCTGTAAAAACCCCCTTTCTTCTAACAAAGACGAAAAGGATTGTAGACATGTCAGAGATAGTTTTTTAAGCTAATCCCTATCAACCTCTTAAATCAAGTTGATTTAGTCAGCTTATCCTGCTACTCAGAGTCTCACAGGAAATATCGAGAAATCCCGAACAAAGAGTTTCCTATACATATGTGGCTTCCTTGATTGTCAGGGACCCTTTGGCAGCACAGAGCACGAGCTGTCTCCCAAAACCAGAGTAATAGTGTCTTCGCTAAGGCAGGAAAATATATACGTTCCTAGCACTGAAATTATGTCCACTGGACAGAAGTGCAATACAAATTACTTTGTGCAATTAGAAACATAAGTTTCGATGTTCAAAACGATGTGAATGTCATTTTCACGTTCATCAGGAAATATTTCAGGTCTCTATGTATGTATATACATATGTATGAGTATGAGGAATGATGAGTATGAGGAATAACATCACTAGATGAACCCAGAAGGCGGTAGATTGGCCAAAAACCCACTGCTAGGAGCTGGCCAAAAATTTGCTTCTAGGGAATGGCAGAGAACATACTGTGCCCCAGTAAAACTCATCATAGGATCACTTAATCTGATTGCCTTTGATGTCAATCTTACATCGCCAAGGAATTTGCAGAGGTTCGTAACACTAAAATAAGTTTCATTGCAGTGACGAAATGGCTTGGTTCCTGCTCCTAAAAACCAATTTAATGTAATCCTCTTTACAGTCCAATATAAAATTTGCTCGCTTAGTAACCCTTCCATTGGTATCGAACCCCTTGTACCCTTTTACGGTTTTTTGGTTGCTTTTCAGTTTAAAAAAGTTTACCAATTGCCTTAACTACTGGATTGCTCCTGGTGTCACTGTAGCTTTACGCAATATTTATTCTAGGTACATTTTCATTACCAGAGAATCAGAACACATTTTGGTAGTTAGTGAAATCTTTCTGAAACTTTATTCCAAAAATGTTCGTATCAATATTCAGATACTCACAATTACTCTTATCGGTGTACTACATATTCTTCGGATTCTTCTGAGGTCGTAAGGTCTGTCACTATCCAATAATCCTGTTTGCGTAGTTAGAAAAGCTCACTACTACTCGGCAGCACTCAAGTTTGATATCTGGTCCCGACAACAACCAAAACAGGTTTCGTTTAATAGCCTCGAAAAAAATAATCGGTTTTTAAGAGATTGGCATAATAATGAAATGCTTCGTGGTTGTCGGGATTTTTCGACACTTCAAGATTTTCTCCCGATTTTTTGGGGTTCATCATGTCGAAATTTTTAAAGAACTTTGGTGAATTTTTTCGACTTTTTCCTTATTTTCTCAGGACTTTTCGTGATTCTTCATGTTACATTTTTCGAGATCTAACGGGATATTTCAGAGCCTCAGGAGTTTCGGTACTTCTCGAGATTATTTTTCGGTAACCTAATTTCACACGAATGTTGCAAGAAGCCACAGTAGACTGCTTTCATATGATCGATAAGGTGGAAAGATTTCGGAAAATGCCTTCTAAAATAAAAACAATTCCAACAAGCTCTGGATGAATATTAAAAGCAAAATTTCGTGTTCCATTCATGAATAGTTAAAGAACTGAGAAAAACTCTTCGAAAACGCTCTATCTCAGAAAACTTTTCAAGAACGCCCTACTTCAGAATTTTATTGAAACACGCTCTATTTCAGAATTTTATTGAAAAATACCCAATCTCATAATTCGGTTCAAAAACGCATTATCTCAGCTGGCTGCCAAGATAGGTCGATCTTCCAGCTGTTTTTCTAGAGTTTTTGATTATTTGGATTATCATATCTCGCAGCCAATGTATCTCTAAAATATTATGTCCCAAATATTTCATATATAAAATGAAAGCATTTATTCATTTTCCATGTCAATGAACACCATACGCTCCCAGTCAAGCAAATTAAATTAAATCTTATCCCATTTAATTAACTCATGCATACATATGTATTTTAATTAATTTCATTTCAGGATGCAGCAATTTGTGTCAAGTTTCACTTGGAGCGCGAGAAGAATCCACACAAATTCAACAGTCGCATGAAAAATAAGCTGTGGTATTTTGAATATGCCACTTCGGAAACATTTGCTGCATCATGCAAGAATCTTCATGAGAACATAGAAATTGTGGTAAGTGTACATATGTATATGTATATGTATGAGCAACGAGGGTAAAATAAGCAATAAAAAATATGAAATAAATTATGAGAAAACTAACTGCAAAAGACACATGAAAAAGTAAATTGTCGCCGTAGTTATGAGTGCTTGCAAAAATATATGTTTGTAAGCCTAGGTAAACATGCGGGTGCATGCTGGCAAAGTAAGTGTTAAGCATGTGCCAAGTGGGTGTGAAGTGTTTTAAGCTTTGGGATGAAACTTTTGCAGTATCACCTTGAAAATCACGAAAATGGTAGAAAAATATCAAAAAAGATGGCACAATCAACGCGAAAATGGGGAAAACCATAAAGCCTTGTCTTACCGCGTGTTACTTTAGTGGCATCCAAGTGAATGCACACGTTTGTACATGCATGTACATATGTACATATGTATTATTTTCGGTGTATGCGTGTACGTAGTACCCCTGCAAAAAATTGTGCGACCTTATCTCTAAAGAGAGTATTCCGAGATTACTCTCAACCGGGTACAATTGGGCATTAATTAGTCGCAACTAGTCTCATACGGGTACTATTGAAGATCAGTTGGTCTCGACTCATTCCTTACGGGTATAATTGGAGATCAATTAGTCCCCGACTCATTTCTAACGGGTACTGGTACTACATTTGTGCTGTGGTATTACATTCTGTTTAGCCAGTAAAAGTGACTAGTCGCTTTTTTATAGCCGTTCGGGTATAGAGGGAAACAATTAGTCTCTTCATAGGACAAGCTCGAACAAAAGCGATTAGTTCATTCCATATAAAGAGATGAAAAGTGCTATTAGTCCCATGTTCCTTTGCGATTTCTCCCGGAGTCATCCCGGATTAGTCGCATTTTTTGCAGGGACCTCACTTGGCGTAACTGCTGCTCTTCACTTTTTTCTTTTCTTTTTTTCCCCTTGTTTTTAGTATTCCGTCATCAAGTCATCAATCCCGCCGCAGTGGCATTTCATGCTGTTGCATATTTTACCTGATGAGTGAATTCGCTGTGCAAGCGTCTGTAAAGCACACAAGAGAAATTCATCATTACTGCTCACTCACTTTAATAGCAGCCATTGCTGCTGCTTCTTCTACTGCTATTGCTGCTACTTTAGTGGCAAAACCAATCTTAACCCAGAAAATCATCAACTTTTAGTAGCAATCTCTGTTCGGCACTCGCTTTAAGTTTTGTCATGAAATTCAGCCCAAGAAAGCGATAATATTTCCGATTTTTTCTTTGCTCGTTTTATTCTTACTCACATCCATATTGAGATTTTTGATTGAGCACACTGGAAATTTGTTCGACCGTAAATTATGCCTTTTCTCTCTCAACGGTAATTTGGTGCGCAGCTGCGTTTCACATCAGCTTATCTACGAAAAACATTGCTCACAGCTCATTAGCGTCGACGTGCTTCGGTAAAATCGGTTGGCATTTCGGGAGAATATGAAAATATTGAGAGATAGAATATGCAGGAACAAAATGAGGAAAACTCAGAAAAATTCAAAGTCTTTCAAATATTCTGCAATTAGCTTAAGAAGCCATCTGTTGAAAATTAAGGGCTTGCGATCAAAACCTCTGATACACAAGCTTTCGTAATTTGAGTGCTTTCGAGCATTTTATACACATCAGTCATGGACAGAGAGAGCTTTTTACTTAAAACTTTAAACGGTGATGGGCACCGTCTTGGCCGCGGGCAAATCGCCTTTAAGCTTTATGTACATTTTGTAAAGGCACGTGCGGAGTAAATGCTCTCTCTGCCAATCACAACTTTAAAAGAGACGATGCTGTCAAAGTACTGAACTATTTACTTATATAAAAGCTCCAACATAAACAGCACATAAAAGTGAGCAGCTATTGCACCCTCAAGGATCAGACATAGGTCCTGCGAAATCAATTTGAAACAATAAAATCTTTCTGCTTTGAAAGATAAATCTGGAGTACTAAGATGGCAAGACTGTGAAGAAACTTAGAAATAAAAAAGTTGAAGAATTCATTAAAAGAGATCCTTTGGCTTTGGTCCTCACAGATTGCACGGTAAAAACCGGCTTTCCTATGGGAGAACTTTACAAACCGTGCAAGGGCTTTGCAAGACCGCGAGAATACCCCTATTATAATTTTAGCTCTGGGCTGGGATCCAGATAATTACTCTTCTCTTCGCACACCTTGTGGCACAAATTTCATTTAATCCTTTTCCGACTTACTACTCCTTACCATCAAGTTGTCTAATAACTAAGCATAACGAGCTTGCGTGGATGAGCGTGGATTCTTCCTCTGGTTTGAGATTTTTATTTTCCTACTCCATTATTTTATGATTCAAAAGATCAAATTTTATGAAAAAGATTTTCAAAAGTAGTTTGCGACCAAAGGTTCTCTAGGCCATGACCATGAGCTAAGTTCAAACCGAACAAAGAATGCATTTTAGGAAGTGAATAATCAGCTGATCTGAGCATAAGTGTCAAACACTTTAATTCAGTTATTTTCATGAATTCTAATTAAATATGTTTACATAAGCTATGATCTTAAGTTTTTTTGGGCCAAAAAACATATATGTATATTAGGGCGGGTCAATTTTTTTCGACTATAGGCGTATAGCATAGGAGAATTCTAAGTATAATTCTAAGCAAATTTTTCGAAGTTGTTGGAGTTTTCCAAATTGCGAAAATAGATTTCTTCTACTTAGCATTTTGCTATAGTATCGTAAAGAAGTGCTTAAATTTTGTATAAAAGTTTTTGATATGAGGAATCTATTTTTAGACTTATCTTTTTCTGAAAACATCCGCCAGAGGGCGCAACGGTGAAAATTTTCACATTTTCTTGTTAATATAAAAAAAGTGTATTTTATTTATCCTTATTTTTATCATAAAACTGAAATTCAATACAAATACATACTGAAATTCATACATTAGACTGCATCACCAAAAAACAGTTGCAGTTTTTCCACCGGAATTACAATATTTATTTAATTTGAAGACGTACACCAAAGTATTTCAGAAAAATATTGAGATTTACGTGTGCTGAACCGATTTGAAAATACCTCCAAAAATGGAGTTTTTTGTGCATAAAATTAGTTTCTTAAAGAACATTTTGAAAAAAATCCCATCAGATGACAGTTTAAGCTTAAAAAATTTGCATAAAAATATTAAAAAATATATTGAACGGAATCGTAATAATGAGATTTTTGATGCTGTTTTTCAACTTTTTTTAGACTTTTGGGGTATCTGTGGAGAGGTATTTTCCCACTCTTTTTATTTCTGTGCAAAACAAATTCATTTAAGCACTTCTTTAAGACACTACAGCAAAATGCTAAGTAAAATAAATAAATTTTTGCAATTTTGCAAACTCCAAATTGATTTTAGACCCGTGGCTTCTTTGGCAAATTTGCTTAGAATTACACGAAGAATCCTCCTATGCTATACGCCTATAGCCGAAAATCAAATTGACCCGCCCTAATGTACAATCTTCCCTCCACATACATACATATTTACATACAGTTGAACGACCTATTCTATTCTAAGGAAAACTGCTTACAAGCAAACTTTTTAGTGGCAATTCATCTTTATGTTTCCACTTTGCGCATTTTGATTCAGCGGGCACAGCTGTTTCTGAGCATTTTACGAGCAATAAAATTAACAGCCAATGCATTAATCAAATAAAATAAGCATTTAAAAGTGCTTAACACGAGCAGCTTAGATGACTTCATGTGTGAGTATAAAGTATGAATGGGCTAATCCAGGCAGATGAATAGCTAAGCGAGTAACTACTTGACTAGATAGAGTCAGAGGATATCATCAATTGAAGTACACCTGCTAAACAAAGGATGGAGGAAGAATAATAAAAAAAAAAACCCAAGGAAGGAAGAATAAAAGAATTTGCATAAAAACTGTATGGGCCACAAAAATTGTATTTGAATACATTTAGGCGTAATATCTTGGTGGAGGAAAGTCATTCGCATACATTTGCACGTTAAATAACTGCCTTTAAAGCACATTTGTACCTTGTATACCGCAATCATTTAGCAGCTTGCGGCAATAAAAGATAATAGCTACTTATGCCAGATTTGCTTGTTCTCAGTTTGGGAAGCCCATGAAGAGCAAGATACTTGTGAAGATGTGAGAACGAGCATAATTTGCGTAAGTAATGATGTGTTGTATGGGATTTATTTTCGTACAAAATGTTGCTTGATATTTCGTGTCAACATTAATGTATGTGGAAATACCCAAAAACCAAGCAATTTTCGACAGGAAATTTCTTTGACCAGTGAGCCCTAAGTAAATATGTACCAGAAAATGGACGGAAGGAAGGAAGTCTTAACAAACGTAGTAGAAAGCAAACAGAAATGGTGAAAAACGTGCCAATTTTATGCAAAAAATTATGGCTCCATTACACGTGTTGCTTGTTGCCATTTGTGGTGCTTTTTGAAAGCGATGTTGGCACTACATACAAATAAAAACACCACAAATTGCGGTGCTCGCTTAAGAGCATCGTAGGCAACAAAAAAAAAAAAAAAAAGCTCAAAGCACAAAGCGCAAAGCGGAAAGCAAGCTAAATAGCGGAAGTTAATAATTGTAACCAGTCAAGTAAAAAGGACAAACCAGCAAAAGAATAATGTCAAAAAAAAAATAAACACTTGCCGCACATTACGAGCAGAAAATGTCCTTTTTCTTACCCAAAGCTAGACCACTAAGGCTATGTATAAAAATATGTAGCAGCTGACAGCTGTTAAGCGATTTGCAGCAAGCAGACGGAGCACTCACGCGTACTATTTATTGTTTTTGTTTTTTACTGCTTTTGATAAAGCACAATTTGCTCTTCGGCACCAGTAGCCAATTTGAGGTTGTTCTTATTGGCTTTATACTCATTCTTGTTTATTTTTTAAATTCCAACATTTTTATTGTTTTTTTTTTTTTTTTTGTATCTCCTTTGCAGTGCGATGGCGTTTCCTTAAATTTGGCAAATGGACCACATCTACAGGGTGTCGCTCTACTAAACATTCCTTACACTCATGGCGGCTCGAACTTGTGGGGTGAACATCTTTCGCAAAAGCGAATGCGCAAAAGTGCTGGTCCATTTCGAAAAGGCAAGAAACTGAAATCCTCGGATAAGGAACTTTCAGCGACAAGTTTCACATCTGTCGATTTGTCAGTTGCAACTCAAGGTGAGTAAATTTTCAATTGAATGAAGGCAAATTGTTGCAATTTTTTTTTTTTTTTTTTTGTTACTAGTTCAATCAAATTAGGCCTCACCCCTCAATAACCCTTTGACGAGATAAAAGTTACACCAAAGAAAAGCTCATCATTCCCTTGTAAGCTGAAGGGTGTTTTGTTTTTAGGGTGTAGAACTTTAAATTGAAATAATATTGAGAGATTACCTAACTTCAAAACGATTTTAGGTTTTGTTCGCATAAACCAACGACTTCACGAATGCTAAGAGAAAATAATCTAAATATGAAGAATCAAGGATTTTCCAACAATAATCACACTAAAACTTGAAATTGTGGTTGTTGTAATAAATTTGATCATCAATTATAATTCTTTTAAATTTTTAGGCAGGCTTTTAAGCTTTGAGTGAATTTTCAAAATTTCCAAAAAAAGTGCTTTCGCATTTTCAAATTTACGGGTCTAATGCAATCACTTGCTTGAAGTTCTGGGTTTTTTAAAAGATTTTACATATAAATCGTTTATCTGCTAGGGGGGTAGCTTATTATTTTGAGTTATATAAAAGTTGCGTTCCCTAACTCACAAGAAGTTGCAAGAATTTACCGGAAAAAACGCAAGCAAAGTGGTGAAAAAATTGCAGTGTAAAATCGGTACTCTCTTTGTCAAAAGTTGCAAGATTTTACCCGAAGAATTTTTACCTGTAAAATCTGGGTAAAGTGTGAAACCAACAGCTGTTCAATATTGTCAAAACGAACTGAAGTTGAATAAGCAAAAACAGAAGTACATCTGCATTTTTCAACTTATTATATATATCGTAGCGTATAAATAACTAGTTTTGCAAGTATTTTTATTAATTTGCCTGTGTATTTGCGTATAATTTATGAAATCGGCTAATGAAAAAAATGGCTATGTAAACAAAAAATTTCAACTTCGGTGTGTTTGACAATTTTTTACCTGTTTTTACCCGAAAATCGTACCTGTTTTTTCTCTCTCTCTCTGGCTGCTATTTCGATCTTAAACAGTTGTACCTACAGGTTTTTTCCAAGAAAGTTCAGGAACGAAACTAATATTAACTACGAGTACATATGTACATATGTATGTATGTATGTATGCTACAAGGCACAATATCTCAGGAAACCGGTGAGGGAATCATGTTAAAAGGCAGTAAGGAATGATATGTGTGGAATGTTCACACTGTGGGTGTTAGGTACCTGGTTATGAGGCATCTAATCATTTGACTGGGGATAACTCAGACCAGGCTTTTCTTGGAAAACTTATTGTGCCTCTGCCTCGCCTTTACAATAACTAGGCATGAGGCTTTTGTCAGCGATATGTTGGGAGACGAACTAACAGGAGACCCAGGAAATGTACCACTCCAACTAGTTTAGTCCATTGGGAGAGGGATATATACATTTTTACCACTGATTCGGATTCTGCATATAAAAATACGTAACTTTTGTTTCAAATTTTTTTTTCGAAAGTGCCTTTTTCAACCAATCCGGATTCCAACATTCGCTATCGCTACATCTAGCCCCTTATGCTACCAGCTATGGCTGATGACACATCACATATGTTGCTTTTCCATGTTTTTCATGGCAGAAGTACACTCGGAGGTTTGCCATTGCCTGCCAACGGACGACCGCTGTTAAGAAAAAACCTTTTTTCTATATTTTTGCGATGTTGCTTTGACCAGGGTTTGAACCCGGGTGCTGCGCAGTGGAAGCGGCCGAAAACCGTGTATATCTCCTTTAAAAAGATGAACTTCCGGTCAATTCGAAACTTGAAGTTGATAATACGACGAAAAGATAAAGCATCCCCGACATTGTAGTTCATATTTTTGCAATTTCCAATAATGGTCTAGGGCACCCTGTATAGTTTTAAACGCAACTTGGTTCGTAGCCAGACTGAAACATGATTTTTTTATTTTTTCTTACAGATTTCGGTGATCGCCTAATTGAGGTTATAGGTCTGGAAAATTGTCTGCACATGGGGCAAGTGCGTACCGGTCTTCGTGCCTCTGGTCGACGCTTGGCGCAATGTTGTGAAGTAATTATTAAGACGAAGAAAACATTTCCTATGCAAATTGATGGCGAACCATGGATGCAAGTACCTTGCACGGTACGTATGGTAAAAGGAATAGGAAGTAAAAAATAATAATTCTACAAAAAGTTAAAATAAAACAAAATTAAAATAAAACAATAAAATAAAGGAAAATAAAATAAAATAAAATAAAATAAAATAAAATAAAATAAAATAAAATAAAA